ATCTTCTCTTATTATATGAGAATAACATTCATGCATTAATTCATTACTGCTATTTTCCGTTAGGTTATGAGAACCTATTATAAATAGAAGGCATAATACTTTCTGCAAGATCTCTGCTTTTACTTATTAACATCTTATAAAAATATTATAAAAGCTAAATAAAAGCTTATAAACATTTTCTAAATATTTATTGATAAATTCATATATATAATATTTTATTTTTAAATTTAACTACTAAAATTTCATAAAATAATAATAAATATTATTCTTTTTTTTTAAATGAGTTGCGGGTACCGCGAACCTGCGGTTCAAAATTCTTCGACCCGCATTCCGCCGCAAAAAATACTCCAACCCGTACTCCATCTCGCAAATTTGAAAAAAAAAAAAAATCGAGCTGCATCCGTCCCGCTGCGGGTCTAGTGGGACGGGATCCGCGCGCGCTACTCCCGAGGAATGTTTTCTAGTTTGTGTAAACCAAAATTAGTTCCATGTTTTAACGTTTTTTGCTACATCATCATTTTTCCATTTTTTATTGCATCAAAAGTAGAGTTGGAAGGAAGATTTGACGTCGACGAGACCAAACGAACTTATTATTCAAACTTACAGAACAGAGACTCGAAACTTTAATGCAAAGCGGGATCTCAGGAACTTTGTTTCTTGTGAACATTATTAGAACCCATCACGGCAACTCTAACACCGTCGTCGGTTTCTTCCTCTTTTCCAGGTTTTCTTCTTATTTCTAATTAATTTGTTTGGCGCTTGGAAAATTCTGCACCCTCTGCTCCAATTTTTCTCAGAATTCTTGTTTTTGCACTTTTAAGATTTTTACACGTTTTTGCATAAAAAGATGAAAAGAGGCACTTTTGGAGCATTTTTGAAGTCAAGTGAGATTTTTGGAGCATTTTTACAGATAAACGGACATGTTCGTTTATGTAATAGAGTAAACGTTTATGTACGTTTACGTTAGCCGAGGAATTGAAAGCAAAATTGGTATCAAGCGAGATAAATATGACAATGAGGTGAGGATTTTCATTGACGTTGGTAGATTACTCCGACCTCTCTTGGTTGTAGAAAATTTCCACAAGTTGAAGCAAGACAAACCAACACAGTATCCTTTTGAGCATGTACGGGTTCGTTGTAAAGTTGTCTCGGTTCATGCAGTGGCTTCAATGAACTCTCGTTGCTTTCCTTTTTCCGCTAATCGGTAATTAAATGATTAAGTACCACCATTTTTTTCCTTTTTTTGAGCTAATTACTCTTACTTACGCTATATTTATTATGTACCGGTCTAACTAAAACCAATTTGATTTTTTCAACTTCTTTGGTTCATAACAACAAATCTACATTTTCTTCATATTATTATGTATTTATAAAGATAAAAAACCGACCAAAGAGAAATTACTAGTTTAATATTACTAGAATATTATTATGTATTTCTTTCATTTAACTCGAAACTAGTAATATGGTATAACTCGGAATAGAAAGATAAAACCATAATCTAACTCGTAATGTGGTTTAACTCGAAATANAANNNNAAAAAGGAAATTACATAACAACAAAAATAAGGAACGTTTAGGGAGACTTGGTTTGCAAGCAATCGAAGGAGTAGCAAAACAATGAGTTAAACCACATCAGATCATTGACTAAACGTTCTACTCAGGCAGAACCCGTTCTGAACCGACTTACAACGTTCTGAATGCTCTATAAATTGTAGGTAGAAGATAATTAGAAGGGTAAAGATAAGATATGCTTTTCGGAG